ATAGAGAAAGAGAGAGATAGAGAGAAAGATAGAGAAAGAGAGAGAGTGAGGGAGAGAGAGAGGGAGAGTGAGGGAGAGAGAGAGAGAGAGAGAGAGAGAGAGAGAGAGAGTGCCAAACACGCTATCATCAATTTCACCAAACTGTAATTTTTGCGGACTGATGACACTGTCCAGATGACACTGTCCAGATGACTCTTACTACAGATGCCTAAACAGTTACAGTCGTTAGTGTTGCAGGAGCTTAGTAATGATATTTTTCAACCCATTTCTATTCGACAAAATTAACTCCTGCTCCGGGAAACTACAGTATCTTTCTCGGGAACTTTTAGCTAAGTATTTGTTGTAAACCTAGAAGGGGTTACTGAACGAGGAATTCTTATAGTAAAATCTTATATTTCCAATGCATTCTTATAGTTAAATCATTTCCAATGCATTCTTATAGTAAATTTCTATCATTTCCAATGCATTCTTATAGTAAAATCATTTCCAATACATTCTCATAGTAAATCATTTATAATGCACATTCATAGTAAAATGCATTCTTATATTAAAATCATTTCAAATGCATTCTTATAGTAAAATCATTTCTAATGCATTCTTATAATAAATCATTTCTAATGCATTCTTATAGTAAAATCATTTCCAATGCATTCTTATAGTAAAATCATTTCCAATGAATTCTTATAGTAAAATCATTTCCAATGAATTCTTATAGTTAAATCATTTCCAATGCATTCTTATAGTAAAATGATTTTGTTGTAACCTAGGAAGTGTTACTGAATGAGGATTAACCAAAACTGAGTTTGGAAATGAAATGGTAATCTTTATAACATCAACACGATACAATACTCGCCAGCGGTGTGAAGTACGTAAACCACTGCTAGTGGGAGACGACTTATACAGCATATTAACCCTACTTACAATATACCCATTAGTGTTCATATAACAGTATCATAAAAATTTCACATCATCATCTTTTAGCTATTTACCTTGCTATCAAGTATTATCGACACATATCAGAAGGTAGAGATTTCACAGTTTACACAGATCACACGCCATTAATATATTCATCACATTCAGCAGTAAATAAACATTCTCCTAGAGAACTAAGACAAATAGGTTATATAACACAGTTTACACCAAATAGTGTCCAATGTATTTATGAGTATTAGGACATACCTATTAGTGTTCATAGGTACTGTATATAACAGTAAGAATGAAAGAAAGAATCAAGGTAAGAAAAAGTGTTGTAACCTCGAAAGAGTTACTGATTGAGGAATAACCAACGCGGAGATTGGAAATGAAATGGTAATCTTTATAACATCAACAAAATACAATACTCGCCAGCTGCGTGAAGTAGGTAAACCACTGCTAATGGTGGACTACTTGGACAGCATATTATCTCCACTTATAATAGTGTCCGCCGTATTCATGAGGATTACGACATACACATTAGTGTTCATAGGTACAGTATATAACAGTATAACATACAAACTATGAAACATCTGAGTCTGTCTATATTTCTGAGATGAGGTATTATGTACACTATTTACATTATTCGGACTATTGTCCTCATCTTTGTCGCCATATTTATTACAACATTTTGGCCCTTCAGTATCTGTCTATATTTCTAAGATGAGGTATTATATACACTATTTACATTATTCGGACTATTGTTCATTCTTTGTCACCATATTTATTACAACGTTTCGGCCTTTCAGTATCTGTCTATATTTCTGAGATGAGGTATTATGTACACTATTTACATTATTCGGACTATTGTCCTCATCTTTGTCGCCATATTTATTACAACATTTCGGCCCTTCAGTATCTGTCTATATTTCTAAGATGAGGTATTATATACACTATTTACATTATTCGGACTATTGTCCTCATCTTTGTTGCCATATTTATTACAACGTTTCGCCCCTTCAGTATCTGTCTATATTTCTGAGATGAGGTATTATGTACAGTATTTACATTATTCGAACTATTGTCCTCATCTTTTTCGCCATATTTATTAAAATGTTTCGGCTCTTCAGTATCTGTCTATATTTCTAAGATGAGGTATTATATACACTATTTACATTATTCGGACTATTGCTCATTCTTTGTCACCATATTTATTACAACGTTTCGGCCTTTCAGTATCTGTCTATATTTCTGAGATGAGGTATTATGTACACTATTTACATTAGTCGGACTATTGTCCTCATCTTTGTCGCCATATTTGTCACAACGTTTCGGCCGTTGTACGTTCCGGCCTTTTTCAGTTGTGTTTGGAATGTCGAACTGAACGCTTTATTTCGCTCACTGGGGTAGACTGTTGTAGTTCCACGATCCATGTTTAATAGATGTCAGTTGTCAGTTATCTCCAATTAATTCCCCTCTCCAAGTTCTCCATCGCTTTAATCGGTTGTGAACTCACACTCTTTGGGTCCTGTCACTAGATTTAACCAACGCCTTCATCCACTGCCATGTGTCGACACATGGCACAGTATAGAAAAGGCGTTGATTAGATTGGGTGGACAGATCCAAGAAGGCGTGAGTTCAATACCTATATAAAACAGTGGAGAACTTATATAGGGAAAATAAGCAGCAGATAACTATATATGGCTTTTATCCATAAAACATGGCACGTGAACTAGAACAATTTACCCCAACGATCGAAATAAAGGGGTTCGTTCTGAAAGTACAACCTACCTGAAAACGCCGGGCGTACACGGCCAAGCTATGGCGACAAATATAGGATAATAATATAAATACTGTATGAAACATCTCCAACCAGATGAATTTGGAAGATCTGGTTTATATTTCTTGGGCCATTGAAGAACTATTTATCTCAGAAGATAAGAAGGCGCAGAGTATTTGTTGTAAACCTAGAAAAGGGGTACTGAATGAGGAATAACCGTAACAGAGGTTGCAAATGTAATGGTAATCTTTAAAACATTAACAAAATACAATACTGCATCAGCTTCTCGACCAACAACGCTATCACAGTCACCACATCGAAGTAACAAATCGACCCCAGCTTGACGGAAACAAGCCAGCGAAACACCGCTAAATCAAGAAGAAGGATCACTTGGCCCCAAACACTTCAAACAGTTTATTACTTACTGACTTCCTCTCAAATGTCAATCTTGTGCGCTTATTTGTAGAGTAAGCGGAAGTGAACTGTATCAACTCAAAGGACAAAAATAAACACACAGGACACGGGCTCCGCGCAGACTTCCGGGTTTCAAACATACCTCAACTATTCAATTTAAAAAGAAAATAGCCAATAAAATCGGCGCCAATAAATAAACACAGGCTTCTGGAGGCTTGACGAGGCCATAAAAACCAATCATTCATTCAACTCGGGAAAAGGACTGACAGCAATAAAGAGACACGAGTCAATTTCGTCGTCCTGTCTTTCTCAATATCCATTTTCTCTCTTCCTCAATAAAAGGCTATTCATGTTCATTTCCTTTTCAGTCGGCGAAGAATTTTCTAAATTTCATTTCATGATAAATAATTAAGTTAAAATTTGTGTATCCTACATTTAAATAAATATCAACATTTTATTTGAACACGCAACAATGCTTTCTCTCATTTTAAAAAAAATTCAAACAACGGTGACCCATGGAATCTATCTATCTATCTATCTATCTATCTATCTATCTATCTATCTATCTATCTTATTCTTGTCACTTCTCTCTCTCTCTCTCTCTCTCTCTCTATATATATATATATATATATATATATATATATTATATATATCTTATACTTTTCATATCTGTCTATTTATCTGTCTTATTCTTGTCACCACTCTCTCACTCGCTCTCTCTCTCTCTATTTATCTTAATCTTTTCATCTCTCTCTCATAATATTTATATCTACCAAATATTCTTCTATCTATCTATCTATCTATCTATCTATCTATCTATCTATCTATCTATCTTATTCTTGTCACTTCTCTCTCTCTCTCTCTCTCTCTATATATATATATATATATATATATATATATATATATATATATCTTATACTTTTTTCATATCTGTCTATTTATCTGTCTTATTCTTGTCACCACTCTCTCCTCGCTCTCTCTCTCTCTATTTATCTTAATCTTTTCATCTCTCTCATAATATTTATATCTACCAAATATTCTTCTATCTATCTATCTATCTATCTATCTATCTATCTATCTATCTATCTATCTATCTTATTCTTTGTTTCTTTTCTCTCTCTCTCTCTCTCTCTCTCTATATATATATATATATATATATATATATATATATATATATCTGCAAATCGACTTTTAATATTTTAATTTTGAAATCATCTCGAATACGTCTTAACAACATCGCCCACGTGACGACTACGTGATCATATTTAAACAGAACGCTGATCTGTATAAAATTTCAGTTATCTGTGTGAATTATTTGGGCTCTTATGTCTATCGTCTTTTATGTTAAATTTTATAAGTTATAATGTTAATTATGTTTAAATGAAAAGTCCATGATGATGGTCTAAAATAGACCGAAACGTCCGACGTCGACTTTATTTTAACATTAACACGACATAAATGCATATTCAGATTTTGTTTTTTCTGTATTTTTCTTTCATATATATATATATATATATTATATATATTATATATATCTTATACTTTTCATATCTGTCTATTTATCTGTCTTATTCTTGTCACCACTCTCTCACTCGCTCTCTCTCTCTCTATTTATCTTAATCTTTTCATCTCTCTCTCATAATATTTATATCTACCAAATATTCTTCTATCTATCTATCTATCTATCTATCTATCTATCTATCTATCTATCTATCTGCTAGTCTATGTATCTGTCTGAACTTGTCCAAATCTATCTATGGATTTTTCAATATGTACATATCTATCTATCTATGATAGTCTTGTCTGTTCAAATCTATCGATATATCACTGTTTGATCATTATCTATTGCAGTCTGTCCAAATCTATCTATTTATCTATCTGTTGATGTTTAAATATGCTCATATCTATCTATCTATCTATCTATCTATCTATCTATCTGCTAGTCTGTCTATCTGAACTTGTTCAAATCTATCTATGGATTTTTCAATATCTATCTATCTATCTATCTATTGATAGTCTTATCATACCTCTATCAGTCTGTTCAAATCTATCGATATATCTCTGTCTGATCATTATCCATTGCAGTCTGTCCAAATCTATCTATCTGTTGATGTTTAAATATGCTCATATCTATCTATCTATCTATCTATCTATCTATCTGTTGATGTTTCCAATATCTATCTATCTATCTATCTATCTATCTATCTATCTATCTATCTATCTATCTGTGACAGTCCATTCATATCTCTGTTCAAATCTATTTATCATTTTTTTATGAGGATTTCTATTAGCTGCCAAGATTTTCACTTGATGTAGTCTTTGGAATCGTTGCCAAAAACGATTACAAACGCAACATTTCTGGCACTGATTCCATCAGAATCTCAACTTCAGCAATTTGACCATTTATTTTACATTAAAAAAAAAACTTTCTGTTTATGTGAAAAGTTTCAGATCTTTTTTTCGTACATGAAATTTCATCTTCCTAGAAGAAAATCTCTGAAGATCTATTTCAAAAATTTTTCTTAATTGTTGCTTGATTTCTCATGTAAACGACGTTCTGCATTCCTCTTCATAATTTTGCATAAATTATCTTGAGAACTCTTCCAGACGTTTCTGACAGATATTACTAACATTCATAGTATTAGAAAGACTCGTAGAAATTTCACATTTCTCATTTGATTTTTCTGATTTTTCTTAATTCTTCAGTTAATGATTGAATAAATCATGGCGAGTACGCCGACAATAAAATAACTGTAGAAATTCCCCTAGCGCATCGTTAAATATTTGAGTTTGGTTTGGTTTGGTTTGTTTTACGGCATATCAACCTCAGTGGGTCATTTAATGCCGACAACGTTTTCATGATAGATTCGCATGAATAGAATATGTATTCTTTGGTTTAGATTAGTTTGGTTTATTTTTGTTTAACGGCATATCAACCTCAATGGTTTATTTAATGTAAACAACATTTTTAGGATAGATTCGTATGAATAGAATATGTATTCTTTGGTTTAGATTGGTTTGGTTTATTTTGTTTTACGGGCATATCAACCTCAATGGGTTATTTAATGCCGACAACATTTTTTAGGATAGATTCATTATGAATAGAATATGTATTCTTTGGTTTAGATTGGTTTGGTTTAATATCAACCTCAATGGGTTATTTAATGCCGACAACATTTTTAGGATAGATTCATATGAATAGAATAAGTATTCTTTGGTTTAGATTGGTTTGGTTTATTTTGTTTTACGGCATATCAACCTCAAGTGTGTTATTTAATGCCGACAACATTTTTAGGATAGATTCATATGAATAGAATAAGTATTCTTTGGTTTAGATTGGTTTGGTTTATTTTTGTTTTATGGCATATCAACCTCAATGGGTTTATTTAATGCCGACAACATTTTAGGATAGATTCGTATGAATAGAATATGTATTCTTTGGTTTAGATTAGTTTGGTTTATTTTTGTTTTACGGCATATCAACCTCAATGGGTTATTTAATGCCGACAACATTTTAGGATAGATTCGTATGAATAGAATATGTATTCTTTGGTTTGAATTGGTTTGGTTTATTTTTGTTTAGCATATCAACCTCAATGGGTTATTTAATGCCGACAACATTTTTAGGATAGATTTATGAATAGAATAAGTATTCTTTTGGTTTAGATTGGTTTGGTTTATTTTTTTTACGGCATATCAACCTCAATGGGTTATTTAATGCCGACAACATTTTTAGGATAGATTCGTATGAATAGAATATATATTCTTTGGTTTAGATTGTTTGGTTTATTTTGTTTTACGGCATATCAACCTCAATGGGTTATTTAATGCCGACAACATTTTTAGGATAGATTCATATGAATAGAATAAGTATTCTTTGGTTTAGATTGGTTTGATTTATTTTGTTTTACGGCATATCAACCTCAATGGGTTATTTAATGCCGACAACATTTTTAGGATAGATTCGTATGAATAGAATATGTATTTTTTGGTTTAGATTAGTTTGGTTTATTTTGTTTTACGGCATATCAACCTCAATGGGTTATTTAATGCCGACAACATTTTTTTTAGGATAGATTCATATGAATAGAATAAGTATTCTTTTGGTTTAGATTGGTTTGGTTTATTTTGTTTTATGGCATATCAACCTCAATGGGTTATTTAATGCCGACAACATTTTTAGGATAATTCGTATGAATAGAATATGTATTCTTTGGTTTAGATTTGTTTGGTTTATTTTGTTTACGGGCATATCAACCTCAATGGGTTATTTAATGCAGACAACATTTTTAGGATAGATTCATATGAATAGAATATGTATTCTTTGGTTTAGATTGGTTTGGTTTATTTTGTTTTATGGCATATCAACCTCAATGGGTTATTTAATGCCGACAACATTTTTAGGATAGATTCATATGAATAGAATAAGTATTCTTTGGTTTAGATTTGTTTGGTTTATTTTGTTTTACGGCATATCAACCTCAATGGGTTATTTAATGCCGACAACATTTTTAGGATAGATTCGTATGAATAGAATATGTATTCTTTGGTTTAGATTGGTTTGGTTTATTTTGTTTTATGGCATATCAACCTCAATGGGTTATTTAATGCCGACAACATTTTTAGGATAGATTCGTATGAATAGAATAAGTATTCTTTGGTTTAGATTGGTTTGGTTTTTATTTTGTTTTACGGCATATCAACCTCAATGGGTTATTTAATGCCGACAACATTTTTAGGATAGATTCGTATGAATAGAATATGTATTCTTTGGTTTAGATTGGTTTGGTTTATTTTGTTTTTATGGCATATCAACCTCAATGGGTTATTTAATGTGACAACATTTTTTAGGATAGATTCGTATGAATAGAATATGTATTCTTTGGTTTAGATTAGTTTGGTTTATTTTGTTTTACGGCATATCAACCTCAATGGGTTATTTAATGCCGACAACATTTTTAGGATAGATTCGTATGAATAGAATATGTATTCTTTGGTTTAGATTAGTTTGATTTATTTTGTTTTACGGCATATCAACCTCAATGGGTTATTTAATGCCGACAACATTTTTAGGATAGATTCGTATGAATAGAATATGTATTCTTTGGTTTAGATTGGTTTGGTTTATTTTGTTTTATGGCATATCAACCTCAATGGGTTATTTAATGCCGACAACATTTTTAGGATAGATTCGTATGAATAGAATATGTATTCTTTGGTTTAGATTGGTTTGGTTTATTTTGTTTTATGGCATATCAACCTCAATGGGTTATTTAATGCCGACAACATTTTTAGGATAGATTCGTATGAATAGAATTTGTATTCTTTTGTTTAGATTAGTTTGGTTTATTTTGTTTTACGGCATATCAACCTCAATGGGTTATTTAATGCCGACAACATTTTTAGGACAGATTCGTATGAATAGAATATGTATTCTTTGGTTTAGATTGGTTTGTTTTATTTTGTTTTGCGGCATATCAACCTCAATGGGTTATTTAATGCCGACAACATTTTTAGGATAGATTCGTATGAATAGAATATGTATTCTTTGGTTTAGATTGGTTTGGTTTTATTTTTGTTTTATGGCATATCAACCTCAATGGGTTATTTAATGCCGACAACATTTTTAGGATAGATTCGTATGAATAGAATATGTATTCTTTGGTTTAGATTAGTTTGATTTATTTTGGCATATCAACCTCAATGGGTTATTTAATGCCAACAACATTTTTAGGATAGATTCGTATGAATAGAAAATGTATTATTTGGTTTAGATTGGTTTGGTTTATTTTTTTTTATGGCATATCAACCTCAATGGGTTATTTAATGCCGACAACATTTTAGGATAGATTCGTATGAATAGAATATGTATTCTTTGGTTTAGATTAGTTTGGTTTATTTTGTTTTACGGCATATCAACCTCAATGGGTTATTTAATGCCGACAACATTTTAGGATAGATTCGTATGAATAGAATATGTATTCTTTGGTTTAGATTAGTTTGATTTATTTTGTTTTACGGCATATCAACCTCAATGGGTTATTTAATGCCGTCAACATTTCAGGATAGATTCGTATGAATAGAATATGTATTCTTTGGTTTAGATTGGTTTGGTTTATTTTGTTTTATGGCATATCAACCTCAATGGGTTATTTAATGCCGACAACATTTTTAGGATAGATTCGTATGAATAGAATATGTATTCTTTGGTTTAGATTAGTTTGGTTTTTTTGTTTTTTACGGCATATCAACCTCAATGGGTTATTTAATGCCGACAACATTTTTAGGATAGATTCGTATGAATAGAATATGTATTCTTTGGTTTAGATTAGTTTGATTTATTTTGTTTTACGGCATATCAACCTCAATGGGTTATTTAATGCCGACAACATTTTTAGGATAGATTCGTATGAATAGAATATGTATTCTTTGGTTTAGATTGGTTTGGTTTATTTTGTTTTACGGCATATCAACCTCAATGGGTTATTTAATGCCGACAACATTTTTAGGATAGATTCGTATGAATAGAATATGTATTCTTTGGTTTAGATTGGTTTGGTTTATTTTGTTTTATGGCATATCAACCTCAATGGGTTATTTAATGCCGACAACATTTTTAGGATAGATTCGTATGAATAGAATATGTATTCTTTGGTTTAGATTAGTTTGATTTATTTTGTTTTGGCATATCAACCTCAATGGGTTATTTAATGCCGACAACATTTTTAGGATAGATTCGTATGAATAGAATATGTATTCTTTGGTTTAGATTGGTTTGATTTATTTTTTTTACGGCATATCAACCTCAATGGGTTATTTAATGCCGATTTTTTTAGGATAGATTCGTATGAATAGAATATGTATTCTTTGGTTTAGATTGGTTTGGTTTATTTTGTTTTATGGCATATCAACCTCAATGGGTTATTTAATGCCGACAACATTTTTAGGATAGATTCGTATGAATAGAATATGTATTCTTTGGTTTAGATTGTTTGATTTATTTTTGTTTTACGGCATATCAACCTCAATGGGTTATTTAATGCCGACAACATTTTTAGGATAGATCTGTATGAATAGAATATGTATTCTTTGGTTTAGATTTTTGTTTATTTTGTTTTATGGCATATCAACCTCAATGGGTTATTTAATGCCGACAACATTTTTAGGATAGATTCGTATGAATAGAATATGTATTCTTTTGGTTTAGATTAGTTTGGTTTATTTTTGTTTTACGGCATATCAACCTCAATGGGTTATTTAATGCCAAACAACATTTTTAGGATAGATTCATTATGAATAGAATATGTATTCTTTGGTTTAGATTAGTTTGATTTATTTTTGTTTTACGGCATATCAACCTCAATGGTTATTTAATGCCTTATTAGACAACATTTTTAGGATATCAATTCGTATGAATAGAATATGTATTCTTTGGTTTAGATTGGTTTGGTTTATTTTGTTTTTATGGCATATCAACCTCAATGGGTTATTTAATGCCGACAACATTTTTAGGATAGATTCGTATGAATAGAATATGTATTCTTTGGTTTAGATTAGTTTGGTTTATTTTTTTTTTACGGCATATCAACCTCAATGGGTTATTTAATGCCGACAACATTTTAGGATAGATTCGTATGAATAGAATATGTATTCTTTGGTTTAGATTAGTTTGATTTATTTTGTTTTACGGCATATCAACCTCAATGGGTTATTTAATGCCGACAACATTTTTAGGATAGATTCGTATGAATAGAATATGTATTCTTTGGTTTAGATTGGTTTGGTTTATTTTGTTTTATGGCATATCAACCTCAATGGGTTATTTAATGCCGACAACATTTTTAGGATAGATTCGTATGAATAGAATATGTGTTCTTTGGTTTAGATTGGTTTGGTTTATTTTTTGTTTTATGGCATATCAACCTCAATGGGTTATTTAATGCCGACAACATTTTTAGGATAGATTCGTATGAATAGAATATGTATTCTTTGGTTTTGATTAGTTGGTTTATTTTGTTTTGCGGCATATCAACCTCAATGGGTTATTTAATGCCGACAACATTTTTAGGATAGATTCGTATGAATAGAATATGTATTCTTTGGTTTAGATTGGTTTGGTTTATTTTGTTTTACGGCATATCAACCTCAATGGGTTATTTAATGCCGACAACATTTTTAGGATAGATTCGTATGAATAGAATTATTCTTTGGTTTAGATTAGTTTGGTTTATTTTTGTTTTGGCATATCAACCTCAATGGGTTATTTAATGCCGACAACATTTTTAGGATAGATTCATATGAATAGAATAAGTATTCTTTGGTTTAGATTGGTTTGATGTATTTTGTTTTACGGCATATCAACCTCAATGGGTTATTTAATGCCGACAACATTTTTGGATTCGTATGAATAGAATATGTATTCTTTGGTTTTAGATTAGTTTGATTTATTTTGTTTTACGGCATATCAACCTCAATGGGTTATTTAATGCCGTCAACATTTTTAGGATAGATTCGTATGAATAGAATATGTATTCTTTGGTTTAGATTGGTTTGGTTTATTTTTGTTTTACGGCATATCAACCTCAATGGTTTATTTAATGCCGACAACATTTTTAGGGTAGATTCATATGAATAGAATAAGTATTCTTTGGTTTAGATTGGTTTGGTTTATTTTGTTTTACGGCATATCAACCTCAATGGGTTATTTAATGCCGACAACATTTTTTAGGATAGATTCGTATGAATAGAATATGTATTCTTTGGTTTAGATTGGTTTGGTTTTTTTTGTTTTACGGCATATCAACCTCAATGGGTTATTTAATGCCGACAACATTTTAGGATAGATTCATATGAATAGAATATGTATTCTTTGGTTTAGATTGGTTTGGTTTTATTTTGTTTTTACGGCATATCAACCTCAATGGGTTTATTTAATGCCGACAACATTTTTAGGATAGATTCGTATGAATAGAATATGTATTCTTTGGTTTAGATTGGTTTGGTTTATTTTGTTTTACGGCATATCAACCTCAATGGTTTATTTAATGCCGACAACATTTTTAGGATAGATTCATATGAATAGAATAAGAATTCTTTGGTTTAGATTGGTTTGGTTTGGTTTTTTGTTTTACGGCATATCAACCTCAATGGGTTATTTAATGCCGACAACATTTTTTAGGATAGATTCGTATGAATAGAATATGTATTCTTTGGTTTAGATTAGTTTGATTTATTTTGTTTTACGGCATATCAACCTCAGTGGGGTTATTTAATGCCGACAACATTTTTAGGATAGATTCGTATGAATAGAATATGTATTCTTTGGTTTAGAGTGGTTTGTTTATTTTATTTTTTACGGCATATCAACCTCAATGGGTTATTTAATGCCGACAAACGTTTCCGGAAATATCTTCCCTTCAAAATTGTATTGTTGGTAATAATTTTTTTTCAAAAAAATCTATTGCTGGTAATACTTAACTATTTGCTCATAGCTGGGACCCTAACAGATGCTACCACCCCGGGTTAGAGTGGACCTGGGAACACCAGCAATTAAGAGGTAGTTCTACGCTTCTCAAAATCTCCTGATCAGAGGCCTTGAGGCTGGACGTAGTTTATCTTCTTACCCAGGACGCGGATGTATTTTATATATATATAAATAAGCAGTATATATATATATATATATATATATATATAGCAGTATATATATATATATATATATACACATATATATATATATATATATATATATATATACATATATATATATATATATGTATATATATATATATATATATATATATATATATATTAGTATATATATATTATTAGTATATATATATTAGCAGTATATATACATTATATATATATATTGTTTTATATATATATATATTTATTGTTTATATATATATAGGGATATATATATATATATATATATATATATATATATATATATTATATATTTTGAATATATATATATATAGTAGTATATATGTATATATATATTATTAGCATATTATATATATATACCAATATATATTTATATATATGTGTATGCATACACACACACAAATATATATATATATATATATATATATATATATATATATATATAATATGATTTTGTGTATATATCATTTTGTCAACTTGTTTAACCAAATCATTTCTATTCTTGTGTGACAAATTTGATCCGTCCAACCAGTGAAGAAGGGTCAACCCTAATCACGTGATCGTCTGAAGCAGCCGCCATTGAGGACGTTGCCTTCAACGCTGCCGCTAACATCATTGGGCATTAATGAGATCAGCAAGATAAAAGAAGGTGTCTGGAACGATGAAAAAAATTAGACAGCCTTCGTAAACGACAACAACGTCTTTTATCTGTTGCACATCAATGCTAAATCAATCTGGCCAACCCAGACTGATATGTCTGCGCGAATAATCGCAAACGTGTTGGTCCATAGCGTTTTAAGCACTTTCTGGCAATTTCTTTCTTTCTTTCTTTCTTTCTTTCTTTTGTTCCGTTCTCTTCTTTCTTTATCTTTCTCTTATTTTTCCCTATGTTCCCATCTTTCTTTCTTTCTTTCTTTCTTTCTTTTGTTCCGTTCTCTTCTTTCTTTATCTTTCTCTTATTTTTCCCTATGTTCCCATCTTTCTTTCTTTCTTTCTTTCTTTTGTTCCGTTCTCTTCTTTCTTTATCTTTCTTTATTTTCCCTATGTTCCCATCTTTCTTTTTTTTTCTTTCTTTCTTTCTTTTTGTTCCGTTCTCTTCTTTCTTTATCTTTCTCTTATTTTTCCCTATGTTCCCATCTTTCTTTCTTTCTTTCTTTCTTTCTTTCTTTCTTTCTTTCTTTCTTTCTTTCTTTTGTTCCGTTCTTTTCTTTCTTTATCTTTCTCTTATTTTTCCCTATGTTCCCATCTTTCTTTCTTTCTTTCTTTCTTTCTTTCTTTCTTTCTTTTGTTCCGTTCTCTTCTTTCTTTATCTTTTTCTTATTTTTCCCTATGTTCCCTTTTTCTTTGTTTTTTCCTTCTTTCTTTTTGTTCCGTTCTCTTCTTTTTTATCTTTTCTTTATTTTTCCCTATTTTTCCCATCTTTCTTTCTTTCTTTCTTTCTTTCTTTTCTTTCTTTCTTTTTTTGTTCCGTTTCTTCTTTCTTTTGTTCCGTTCTCTTCTTTTCTTTATCTTTCTTTTATTTTTCCTATTTCATCTTTCTTTCTTTCTTTTTTTTTCTTTCTTTTTTTTTTCACCTTTCTTTTGTTTCCGTTCTTTTTCTTTCTTTTATCTCTCTCTTATTTTTCCCTATTTTCCCATCTTTCTTTCTTTCTTTCTTTTTTCTTTCTCATTATTCGATTATTTTTTCTTTTTTAAAATTTGCGTTTTTTCTCTTTACTTCAATGTTCTTATTTTGCCATTCCTCTTTCTTTTCTTTTCAAAATATTTTTCATCTTTTTTCTTTTTTTCATTCTTTCTTATTATTTTTCTTTTTTCAAATTCTAAGTCTTTCTTTGTCTTTCCACATTCTTTTCTAAATGCTTTTCTTTCTTTCTTTCTTTCTTTCATTTTTCCCTATTTTCCCATCTTTATTTCTTTCTTTCTACCTTTCTTTCTTTCTTCCTTTCTTTCTTTCTTTCTTTCTTTCTTTCTTTCTTTCTTTCTTTTAATTTGCTTCTTTTCTTTTTAATATGTCATTTCCAAAGACGACTTTTAAATTGTCTTGCCTTATATTCATTAATTTGTTTCTTTCTTTCTTTCTTTCTTTCTTTTTCTTTCTTGCTTTTTAATGATTTATTTTCACAGGCGTTTTTTTAAAATTTGTTTTCTATTTAATTCATTAATTTATTTTTTCTTTCTTTCTTTCTTTCTTTCTTTCTTTCTTTCTTTCTTTCTTTAGATTTTATTTTTTAAAAGTCAATCGTTACCCTCAATCTGAAATATTCTTTTCTCTGCCTCTTTTATTTATTTATTTATTTTTTTCAAATTTACTCCTTTTCGGTTCCTTTAAAAAAATCTTTCTTTGCCTTTTCACGTTCTTTTCTAAATGCTTTCCTTCTTTTTCTTTCTTTCTACTTTCTTCCTTTTTTACTATCTATCATTCTTTCTTTTCGACTATTTTTTCTTTAGTGAAATTCACTCTTTTTCTTGCTTAAATTTTTTTTCTTTCTTTCTTTCTTTTCCACTATTTTTCTTTTTAAAATTTACTCTATTTCTTTCCCTTAAAATTTCTTCCTAAATTAATGTTCATCTTCTTTCTTTCTTTCTTTCTTTCTTTCTTTCTTTCTTTCTTTTTCTTTCTTTCTTTCTGTCTTTCATTTTTCCCTATGTTCCCATCTTTCTTTCTTTCTTTCTTTCTTTCTTTCTTTTTCCACTATTTTTCTTTTTAATATTTACTCTATTTCTTTCCCTTAAAATTTATTCCCAAATTAATGTTCTTCTTTCTTTCTTTCTTTCTTTCTTTCTTTCTTTCTTTCTTTACGGCTTTTTTTGTTTCTTTCTTTTTAATGATTTATTTCCACAGGCGTTTTTCTTTAATTTGTCTTGCATTTAATTCATAAATTTATTCATTCTTTCTTTATCTAACTCTTTCTTTAGATTTTATTTTTTTTTTAAATCAATCGTTACCCTCAATCTGAAATTTTCTTTTCAAATAATTCCTTTTTTCGGTATTTTTCCTTTTTTTGTCTTTTAACTTTTTTCTCTCTTCTTTCTTGTTATTGCGTAGACTGACAGAACGGGGCACTATATAGCCGCTAATAACTTTGGTTCACGTGAATACCGGCGGCTCTGTAACAGTGTGGACCCCGATAAGGAATGTGGATATAGTATCCATGAAATAGTTTTTAAGAAATATGCTCCTGAAGTCGCCTGTTTTCTACAATAATGCCCTGTCGTTTCTTCGTTTCCTGCCTGTTGGAAATCCAGATTCTGTAGTTCCAGTCTTTAAGAACTCGGGAGAATCATCTGATCCAAACTATCGGTCTTTTGTTGGCCTTTTTTTTTTCTTTTTTCAAATTTACTGCTGTTCGGTTCGTTGAAAAAATCTTTCTTTGCCTTTTCAGGTTCTTTTCTAAATGCTTTCCTTCTTTTTCTTTCTTTCTAATTTCTTCCTTTTTACTACCTTCCTTTCTTTCTTTTCGACTATTTTTACTTTATTGACATTCACACTTTTTCTTGCTTAAAGTTTATTTCTTTTCCTTTCTTTCTTTCTTTTTGCTTCTTTTCTTTTCAATATCTGATTTCTAAAGACGACTTTTAAATTGTCATCCATTTTATTCATTTCTTTCTTTCTTTCTTTCTTTCTTTCTTTCTTTCTCCTCCACTATTTTTACAACTCACTCTATTTCTTTCTGCTTTAAAATTTCTTCACAAATTAATGTTCATCTTCTTTCTTTCTTTCTTTCTTTCTTTCTTTCTTTCTTTCTTTCTTTCTTTGTTCCGTTCTCTTCTTTCTTTAGCTTTCTTTCATTTTTCCCTATGTTCCCATCTTTCTTTCTTTCTTTCTTTCTTTCTTTCTTTCTTTCTTTCTTTCTTTTTTTTTTGTTCCGTTCTCTTCTTTCTTTAGCTTTCTTTCATTTTTCCCTATGTTCCCATCTTTCTTTTTTTTTTTTTCTTTCTTTCTTTCTTTTTTTTTGTTCCGTTCTCTTCTTTCTTTAGCTTTCTTTCATTTTTCCCTATGTTCCCTTCTTTCTTTCTTTATTTCTTTCTTTCTTTCTTTTGTTCCGTTATCTTCTTTCTTTAGCTTTCTTTCATTTTTCCTTTTTCCCTTCTTTTCTTTTCTTTCTTTCTTTCTTTCTTTCTTTATTTCTTTCTTTTTTGTTCCGTTCTCTTCTTTCTTTATCTTTCTTTTCTTTTTCATTTTTTCCCTATGTTTTCCTTCTTTCTTTCTTTCTTTCTTTCTTTCTTTCTTTCTTTCTTTTGTTCCGTTCTCTTCTTTCTTTAGCTTTCTTTCATTTTTCCCTATGTTCCCATCTTTCTTTCTTTCTTTCTTTCTTTCTTTCTTTCTTTCTTTCTTTCTTTTGTTCCGTTCTCTTCTTTCTTTATCTTTCTTTCATTTTTCCCTATGTTCCCTTCTTTCTTTCTTTCTTTCTTTCTTTCTTTCTTTCTTTCTTTCTTTCTTTCTTTCTTTTGTTCCGTTCTCTTCTTTCTTTATCTTTCTTTCATTTTTCCCTATGTTCCCATCTTTCTTTCTTTCTTTCTTTCTTTCTTTTGTTCCGTTCTCTTCTTTCTTTATCTTTCTTTCATTTTTCCCTATGTTCCCTTCTTTCTTTCTTTCTTTCTTTCTTTCTTTCTTTCTTTCTTTTGTTCCGTTCTCTTCTTTCTTTAGCTTTCTTTCATTTTTCCCTATGTTCCCTTCTTTCTTTCTTTCTTTCTTTCTTTCTTTTGTTCCGTTCTCTTCTTTCTTTATCTTTCTTTCATTTTTCCCTATGTTTCCCTTCTTTCTTTCTTTCTTTCTTTCTTTTCTTTCTTTCTTTCTTTCTTTTGTTCCGTTCTCTTCTTTCTTTTTTTCTTTCATTTTCATTTTCCTTTATGTTCCCTTTCTTTCTTTCTTTCTTTCTTTCTTTCTTTTGTTCCGTTCTCTTCTTTCTTTATCTTTCTTTCATTTTTCCCTATTTTCCCATCTTTCTTTCTTTCTTTCTTTCTTTCTTTCTTTCTTTTCTTTTCTTTCTTTTTTTTTCCGTTTCTCTTCTTTCTTTATCTTTCTTTTCATTTTTTTTCCCTATGTTCCCTTCTTTCTTTCTTTCTTTCTTTCTTTCTTTCTTTCTTTCTTTCTTTCTTTTTCTTTTGTTCCGTTCTCTTCTTTCTTTATCTTTCTTTCATTTTTCCCTATGTTCCCTTCTTTCTTTCTTTCTTTCTTTCTTTCTTTCTTTCTTTCTTTTTTGTTCCGTTCTCTTCTTTCTTTATCTTTCTTTCATTTTTCCCTATGTTTCCATCTTTCTTTCTTTCTTTCTTTCTTTTCTTTTCTTTTGTTCCGTTCTCTTCTTCTTTCTTTATCTTTCTTTCATTTTTCCCTATGTTTCCATCTTTCTTTCTTTCTTTCTTTCTTTTTCTTTCTTTCTTTCTTTCTTTCTTTCTTTTGTTCCGTTCTCTTCTTTCTTTATCTTTCTTTCATTTTTCCCTATGTTCCCATCTTTCTTTCTTTCTTTCTTTCTTTCTTTCTTTCTTTCTTTTGTTCCGTTCTCTTCTTTCTTTATCTTTCTCTTATTTTTCCCTATGTTCCCATCTTTCTTTCTTTCTTTCTTTCTTTCTTTCTTTCTTTCTATTTGCTTCTTTGCTTTAATGCTTCATTTCTACAGAGGTTTATTTTTCAAAAATTTTTCGTGCATTTAATTCATTAATTTATTCGTTCTGTAGTTCCAGTCTTGAAGAACGCAGGAGAACTATCTGATCCAAACTTTCGGTCCAGTAGCCTTCTACCTCATTTCGGCAAAGTACTAGAGGTCCCTGGAACTTGTTATTTACCTCAGAGCCGGCAATAAGGTCTCGGAGCCCTCGCCCCAAAACTTTGATAAGAGCCCCTCCTCTCAAGTACATGTCGATTTCATATTTCCAAACCTGGAAGCCACAGACCAGAAGTAAAATGGTAGAAAATGGCAGCCATTTTTTAAATTAACAAAAATAATTATCCAAATTAAATAAAAATTTACGTAAATATTAATTAATTATTTATTTTTATAATGACTATTTTTCTTTTATTTTAAAAAATCTGAGAAAATGTTATTCTTTTTGCAATAACCACCAATATTTTCATGATTAAATTTTAGGCGAACAAATAATGTTTAAGTTGCAAATTTTTACATTTCAGTAAAGATTAATCGTTGACGCATCTCCGGTAAAAAAAAAAAAGTTTACGAAGATTCCAACACAACACAAACGGGATTGTCTTAAAAAGTTGTTTTAAAAACAGTATTTCAGTTTTCGGGAAATTTTTTCATGTGTTGAAATCTTTAAACATTTTTATTTTTTAAGCGATCCTTTTTTCGCTTTTATCTTTCTAGAAATGTAAAAAAAATAGGGATTGGAATTTTATTTTAATTACTAGCCGTCGACATTTGGTTAGTAATATTATTAGTAAAAAAAAAATTCAGAGATCCTCTTTGAATAGTTTCCGGATTTTATTGCTTATTTTCAGAGAGTTTATGAATTTATATACAACGAAATATGTCTGGAGTTATGTTTTTCACATATAAAATAATGATATGGCGCCCAAAAAAAATTTTCTTATTGACAGCCAGAGTTGACTATCAGTTGCAGAGAGTCATTATGCTGTGGCATGAGAAATCTTATAATGTCACGCAAAATGTGGCCATTATCAACTTCAGCATTAGGCGATTATTAGATTTACACGTTAAATAGTTCTAATCATCTTTCTAACTTGGTATGTAGGTCGCATGAATCTAAATGCCCGACTCGATTGGCAATTAGGTCTCATGGTTTTATTCTTGAAATAGCTCAAATGTAACCGTCAGTTCTATTCTAATAGTTTTTCTCGCATTTGAAAATTTTCAGGTTTCTTATTTTTCTGCCAAATACGATCTGAAAAAAAAAAATTAAATAAAACGAGAACCGCAATCATCTGTCTTTCTGAAACCGGTTCTTTCATTGCCCTTTCATTTCGATGACTATTCTCCATTTCCTGCAATGTTATTGCTCCTGGCATCTCGGCTGCAGTTACGTGGCTTCCCAGGGCCTATTTTTGTTTTTTTATATATTTTCATGATAATTGTGTAGATCAGATTTTCTCATTTGTACCTAGACTTGTACCTATGAATTTAAGCGCAGTACTAGATTAGCGGAAACGCCTAATTATATTACAGTTGAAATGGCTAAATGTAACCGCAAGTTTTATGCTAACAGTTCCTTTTCTCTCATGGTATTACATCCACGGCCGTATAGATTGATGGCAAGGTCTCATCATTTTACTGTTGAAATGGCTAAAATTAACCGTAAGTCCTATGCTAACAGTATCTTCTCTCTCACGGTATTACATCCACGGCCTTACAGATTGGGGGCAAGGCCTCATCATTTTACAGTTGAAATGGCTAGATGTAACCGTAAATTCTATGCTAATAGTGTCTTCTCTCTCACGGTATTACATACACGTCCTTATAGATTGGCGGCAAGGTCTCATCATTTTACAGTTGAAATGGCTAGATGTAACCGTAAATTCTATGCTAATAGTGTCTTCTCTCTCACGGTATTACATCCACGGCCTTGTAGAATGGCGGCAAGGTCTCATCATTTTACAGTTGAAATGGCTAGATGTAACCGTGAGTTCTATGCTAATAGTTTTTTCTCTCTCATGGTATTACATCCACGGCCTTATAGATTGGCGGCAAGGTCTCATCATTTTAAAGATGCCATGGCTAAATGTAACCGTAAGTTCTAGGCTAACAGTTTCTTCTCTCTCACGGTATTACATCCACGGCCTCATAGATTGGCGGCAACTTCTCATCATTTTACAGTTGAAATGCCTAGATGTAACCGTAAGTTCTATGCTAAAGGTTTCTTCTCTCTCACGGTATTACATCCACGGCCTTATAGAGTGGGGGCAAGGTCTCTTAATTTTACAGTTGAAATGGCTAGATGGAACCGTAAGTTCTATGCTAATAGTTTCTTCTCTCTCACGGTATTACATCCACGGCCTTATAGATTGGCGGCAAGGTCTCATCATTTTACAGTTGAAATGGCTAGATGTAACCGTAAGTTCTATGCTAACATTTTCTTCTCTCTCACGGTATTACATCCACGGCCTTTTAGATTGGTGGCAAGGTCTCATCATTTTACAGTTGAAATGGCTAGATGTAACCGTAAGTTCTATGCTAATAGTTTCTTCTCTCTCACGGTATTACATCCACGGCCTTTTAGATTGGTGGCAAGGTCTCATCATTTTACAGTTGAAATGGCTAGATGTAACCGTAAGTTCTATGCTAACAGTTTCTTCTCTCTCACGGTATTACATCCACGGCCTTATAGATTGACGGCAAGGTCTCATCATTTTACACTTGAAATGGCTAAATGTAACCGTAAGTTCTATGCTAACAGTTTCTTCTCTCTCACGCTATTACATCCACGGCCTTATAGATTAGCGGCAAGGTCTCATCATTTTACAGTTGAAATGGTTAGATGTAACCGTAAGTTCTATGCTAATAGTTTCTTCTCTCTCATGGTATTACATCCACGGCCTTTTAGATTGGCGGCAAGGTCTCATCATTTTACAGTTGAAATCGCTAGATGTAACCGTAAGTTCTATGCTAATAGTTTCTTCTCTCTCACGGTATTACATCCACGGCCTTTTAGATTGGTGGCAAGGTCTCATCATTTTACAGTTGAAATGGCTAGATGTAACCGTAAGTTCTATGCTAATAGTTTCTTCTCTCTCACGGTATTACATCCACGGCCTTATAGATTGGCGGCAAGGTCTCATCATTTTACAGTTGAAATGGTTAGATGTAACCGTAAGTTCTATGCTAACAGTTTCTTCTCTCTCACGGTATTACATCCACGGCCTTATAGATTGGCGGCAAGGTCTCATCATTTTACAGTTGAAATGGCTAGATGTAACCGTAAGTTCTATGCTAATAGTTTCTTCTCTCTCACGGTATTACATCCACGGCCTTTTAGATTGGTGGCAAGGTCTCATCATTTTACAGTTGAAATGGCTAGATGTAACCGTAAGTTCTATGCTAACACTTTCTTCTCTCTCACGGTATTACATCCACGGCCTTATAGATTGACGGCAAGGTCTCATCATTTTACACTTGAAATGGCTAAATGTAACCGTAAGTTCTATGCTAACAGTTTCTTCTCTCTCACGCTATTACATCCACGGCCTTATAGATTAGCGGCAAAGGGCTCATCATTTTACAGTTGAAATGGTTAGATGTAACCGTAAGTTCTATGCTAATAGTTTCTTCTCTCATGGTATTACATCCACGGCCTTTTAGATTGGCGGCAAGGTCTCATCATTTTACAGTTGAAATCGGTAGATGTAACCGTAAGTTCTATGCTAACAGTTTCTTCTCTCTCACGGTATTACATCCACGGCCATTTAGATTGGTGGCAAGGTCTCATCATTTAAAAGTTTAAATGTCTAGATTGGAACATGTAAGTTCTATGCTAATAGTTTCATCTCTCTCACGGTATTACATCCACGGCCTTATAGATTGGCGGCAAGGTCTCATCATTTAAAGTTTAAATGGCTAGATGGAACCGTAAGTTCTATGCTAATAGTTTCTTCTCTCTCATGGTATTACATCCACGGCCTTTTAGATTGGTGGCAAGGTCTCATCATTTTACATTTGAAATGGCTAGATGTAACCGTAAGTTCTATGCTAACACTTTCTTCTCTCTCACGGTATTACATCCACGGCCTTATAGATTGACGGCAAGGTCTCATCATTTTACACTTGAAATGGCTAAATGTAACCGTAAGTTCTATGCTAACAGTTTCTTCTCTCTCACGCTATTACATCCACGGCCTTATAGATTAGCGGCAAGGTCTCATCATTTTACAGTTGAAATGGTTAGATGAAACCGTAAGTTCTATGCTAATATTTTCTTCTCTCTCTTGGTATTACATCCACGGCCTTTTAGATTGGCGGCAAGGTCTCATCATTTTACAGTTGAAATGGCTAGATGTAACCGTAAGTTCTATGCTAACAGTTTCTTCTCTCTCACGGTATTACATCCACGGCCATTTAGATTGGTGGCAAGGTCTCATCATTTAAAGTTTAAATGGCTAGATGGAACCGTAAGTTCTATGCTAATAGTTTTCTTCTCTCTCACGGTATTACATCCACGGCCTTATAGATTGGCGGCAAGGTCTCATCATTTTACAGTTGAAATGGCTAGATGTAACCGTAAGTTCTATGCTAAGTTTCTTCTCTCTCACGGTATTACATCCACGGCCTTATAGATTGGCGGCAAGGTCTCATCATTTTACAGTTGAAATGGCTAGATGTAACCGTAAGTTCTATGCTAACAGTTTCTTCTCTCTCACGCTATTACATCCACGGCCTTTTAGATTGGTGGCAAGGTCTCATCATTTTACAGTTGAAATGGCTAGATGTAACCGTAAGTTCTATGCTAATAGTTTCTTCTCTCTCACGGTATTACATCCACGGCCTTATAGATTGGCGGCAAGGTCTCATCATTTTACAGTTGAAATGGCTAGATGTAACCGTAAGTTCTATGCTAACAGTTTCTTCTCTCTCACGGTATTACATCCACGGCCATTTAGATTGGTGGCAAGATCTCATCATTTAAAGTTTAAATGGCTAGATGGAACCGTAAGTTCTATGCTAATAGTTTCTTCTCTCTCACGGTATTACATCCA